ATTATTATTATTATTATTATTATTATTATTATTATTATTATTATTATACCTTTGCTTTCTTTTGCCACAGACATTCTACTTCTGTTTGTGGCTCTTTGTATTTTGTTCCTTTTCCTTCTTATTAGCATTAATATTACCCAAAGTAGAGGAAATATAAACAGCTGGCACAGGAAACAAAAAACATCCAGAAAGAGATGTTATTATCCTGCTGCTGCTACTGAGTTTCCAAGGTATCGGGTGCTTTGCTTTCATTAGCAGTTAATTGAAAAAATATATATATATTTTCATCGAGACCTTGAATTCGTTGAATAGCTCATTATCCTTCCTCTCCTGCTGTGGAGCGATCTGCTTAGTTCTGCAGTTACAAGTCTCTTGGCTTATTAGGAGAAATTTTATTCGAAGCAACTGTTTTTGGCATAAAATATTAAACTGGCGTCGATTGGAATTTGTGCCAGTTTCTCTCTCTCTCTCTCTCTTAGCTGGGAAAAGGTTCGTAATACCCAGATATAAATCAAGGTTAGAGTTTGCAGACCTTAAAATATCTGCAGATTCCCCCTCCCAACAAGGCCTCTGAATTCCATAGCATCCTCCCTCCAAAAGAATGCTTTTTTCCTTTATTGGTTTTCTTTATTTATTCATTTTCTTATTTGATTTCTACATCTGCCGATCCCCATAAGTGACATCTTCCTGTTATAGAGCCAAAAGACAAATAATGTACAGTATTTAGTGTGTGTGTGTGTGTGTGTGTGTGTGTGTGTGTGTGTGTGTGTATGTCCTAAAAGCAGGGTATTTCTTAGTGTTTGGACCAGGCTCTCCATTTTGTGAGAGTGCTCACAGCGGCGTTGCAAGTACTGCCATGAGCCTCCCTAAAGTATCGCTTTGTGAAATCTTGGGGTGCAAAGGGCCTCGATAGAATTCTTTTCAGAATACAATTTAAGGGGGAAATCTCTTTCCTGTTGGTTTTCCTTCTCTTCCTGCAGTTCACAGAGGAGAAACTTGGTCAGGCCGAGAAGACTGAATTAGACGCTCATTTTGAGAACCTCTTGGCTCGCGCAGACACCACCAAAAATTGGACAGAGAAGATCTTACGACAGACAGAAGTCCTGCTCCAGCCGAATCCCAGTAAGCATTTATTAGCACCCGCAGGACACTGATAAATTAGGACTGGTCATAAGTTATTACTACTATTAGTGTGGCTCCGTTGGCTGTGGAAGAAACTGGGGAAGGGCAAAGTCGGCTGGGCAGAGCAGGGAAGAGGTAGAACAAGGGAGAGAGAATTCAGAGGAAGACCCAGGCCCCACCCCCTCTTCATCCTAGGGCATGCAGGGAGGAACGGAGGAGGGAGCGATGTGGGTTGCATGGCTTACGGGGGAGGAAAGGGCCCTGATTCCCTTCATTAGCTGCAGCTGGGAACACAGGGTTTAAAAAGGGAAGCTGCGCACAGCAAATTGTTGAGAGCAAATCATGAATTATCTGGTATTGTGGAGGCTTATCTCTGTTCCTGGCATCTTCCCAACTGTGTGAGTTTTGCTGGCCTTTCAAGGCTGCAGTTCCTTCTTCTGCCCTGTCCAGTTAATTACTGCAGCGTGGTTTGTATGGATTTTTAGTTAGTCTGTATGTACCTTGTTTTGGACTGAATTTCTTCCCCTTAGAGGCTGTTCTTGGGAGAGTTTTTTCTCCAGCTGAAGATAACCTGGACATTGGGGGCAAAGTTGGAGATAATAAAGGGACTCTTCTTGCTTATTTGACTGGGTTGCCTTGGGTCATCACGGTGTCTGTCCATTTGGTCGCAGGTGCCCGAGTTGAAGAGTTCCTCTATGAGAAGCTTGACCGGAAGGTCCCGTCTCGGGTCACCAATGGAGAACTTCTGGCTCAGTACATGATGGAAGCGGCCAGCGACTTTGGCGCCACCACTCCATACGGTGAGTCACGGCCAGCGGAAGCTTCGTTCCCTCCCAAGATCAAGTGGTTGGACAGGTGCAAAGCATGCAGGTAGAATGATCTATCCCACTTCTGCTTTTCCTGGTACCGTTCTCATGGATTGAGCCCTCTGTTGGAGATGCTCGACTTTGCCCTGTCTGAGGGAGGGGTTGGGCTGGATGACCTCTGGGGGATTTTTGTCTCCCCGATGGCAGGCAGCTTTGACTCCCTGCCAAGAGAAGTGGAATTTGAATGTAGGGTTAGAAAAAGGATTTTCCTATCAGCCAGGGGGGGTTGACGAGCAAGAAAACTGCCTTTTCTTGGCTGGACACGTCCACCCTGAGTCTGCTTTTCTGTGCGGGTTCAAATCCGTGTACTCGGGGATCCTTTTGAATTCAGCAGTCCCGCTGTTCGGAAGGGGAAGAGTTGCATTCCTGGAGGGTGCCAAAGGAAGAGGCTTGGCAGCTTCCGGTATCTTTAAGAGACTTCCCAAATTGGAATTCAGCCCTGCGGGGATGGGAGACCACCAGGAAATGCCAACTGTGCATTCTCTCGCTAGGCAAAACCCTCATCAAAGTTGGCGAAACCGAGCGGCGTCTTGGAGGAGCCGAGCGGGACTTCATTCACGCGGCTTCCATCAATTTCCTGACTCCTCTGCGCAACTTCCTGGAAGGAGACTGGAGAACCATTTCGGTGTGTAAAAGTGGAGTGGGGGGAGCAGGCAATGTGGGGGAAGAGGGCCCGTTTGGATTGAAGAGGTTTGCCAGCCAGAGCAAGTGCGGCTTTGTTAATATTTGCTTCCTATACCACTTTTTATGTTATTGTTGTGGGACTGTGTGCCAAATTTTTAAAGCCGACAGATGCATCTACATTTAATTTGTACATTTATTTATTTGTTTATTAAATGTATTCATTTATTTATTAAATTTATTACCTACCTCGCCACGCGGCTAATCTAAACTAATCTGAGTCTAGGATTACCTGTATATCACATTCCAAAACTGTAAAAGCAGCCGTTTGAGGGGGAATCAGAATACAGAACAGGGAGGTGGAAGGGAGGTCATCTAGCCCAACCCGGGACTTTTCTCTGTTTTCCAGAAAGAGCGACGGATCCTGCAAAACCGTCGGCTGGACCTGGACGCTTGCAAAGCTCGGCTGAAGAAAGCGAAGGCCGCGGAGGCGAAAGCCGCGGTAATTTTTTCCCCCTCTCGCCCTCTCCCCACCCGTCCTGCCTGCCAGTGTGTATATATCTATCCATCATCACGCGGCACGCCAGATCCCGTCGCTTTCCTTCTTTCTCGCCCGCCGGATGGGTTGTGCGCTGTGTGTGTTTCTGATGAGGAAGGGAAAGGCTTGATATGTTTGTGACGTCTTCTGCCCTCACCCCCACCTACCCCCCCAAAAAAGAAAGGAAACAGAGCAGGCGATGTTGTAACAGGGAGAGAGAGAGAGAGAGAGAGAGAGAGAGAAATGGCCCACTGGAATTCCACTGGAGGGTTAAACGTTCATTTAATAACCTCCACAAAATCCTCACGAGTTACGACTAGGTTGCCTAAGTGCCATTGCGGCCGTACATTGAGAACCAGAACAGGAATTGCAAATCCTGGGCCAAAAAAAAACAAAACCCATCCAGTTTTCCTGGCATAACTTTTTGCACAGTTTCCACCCAATTCCTCGGTTCAGCTTCCTTTCCCAGAAACTTAACATCCTAGTCCTCGTTGAACACTTAGACACCCCCGGGACCTTAACCAGCATCCAGTTAGGAAGGATCCTGGCCTGTCCAGCCGGAAGCGTCTTAACAAACCTTGTTGGAATGCCGGAGATTTTGGTTCTTCCCTGCCTTGTTTGGTTTCCTCACACGCCTTTTCGCTATTCTGAATATTTTGTCCTTCCTGTGTCCTGCTCTTTGCTTCACTAATCTCTGCTTTCGTTTTGTCCTCTCTTTTTTCTTTTAAATTATTTTCGTCTGTAATTTTGCTCAGTGTGAGGGAACTGTGAGTATTACTTGTGTTAGTAGTGCTGTGATCTTTATTATTATCATTGTCGCCATCCTCATTCTCTTTGGGATCTCATTTGAGAAGGCCTCTTGGGTGGTGTGCATGGAGCGGACGGGGTGGGGGATCTTCCCTGCAGTGAAGGCAGTGAGCCCCTTCCTCAGATATGGAGCTGGGTTTCAAAGGTAGGATTGCGGGAAACAGGGCTGTGTGTAGACCGTGCCAGCGAAATTTGGTTTTAAAGTTTGGTTTCGTTCTTTTTTTTTTCTTTCTTTTTTTTTTTACAAGTTAAGTTTGTAGTCCTTAAGAGATGCAAAGCCATACTTGAAAAGGAGGAGGCTGCCATTTCGATTGCTGGGTCTGATTTTCTGCGCTGGCCTCTTCTCTTGAGAGCCGCCTTCCACAAAGAGATGGAGGCTGTCGGTTTTTTTTAAAGAAAACCAGGTTACACACAGCCCTGGGGGGTTTTTTTTGGGGGGGGGGGGAGAGGGAAAGGGGTGTGAGAATAGCATGTATGGGGGAGCAGAGGGGGAGATGGGGCTCTTTAGCAAGAAATGGTGCTTCCAAAGGGGGGGTACCATGGACGTTTAGCTGAATGTATTGTATTCCTTTTGCTTTATATCCCACCTTTATTACCTTATAGGGTAATTCCAAGCGGAGAACACACACAATAATACTCCTTCCCTCCTCCTAGTTTCCTCACAACGACCCTGTGAGGCGGGGTTGGGCTGAGAGACAGAGAGGCAAGTGCCCAAAGTCACCCAGCCAGCTTTCATGCCTAAGGAGGGACTAGGATTCCCAGCCTCCTGGTTTTCCAGCCTGGGGGACCTCACCTCACCACTAGGCCAAACTGCCCAGTAATCCCTTCAACACCACTCTCTTCTTAGTCCTTAATCCACCCGCAAGCCCTGTTTCTTAGTCTCTGCCTGCAAACCACAGCTGGCCAGTGGGATTTTGGGGGAAAACCACTGGGATTATCACCTGGAATTGGAGGCAGGGATTGGGCTTTTTAGAGAATCCACTGGCAGGTTAAGGAACCAGCGCTATAGGTGGTCCTTGACTTACAATCACGCGTTTAGTAACCATTTTAAATTACGACGGCACTGGAAAAAGGGACTTACGGCCGTATTCGAATGCAAGCTGTCCAGAGTCGCTGCATTCATGAGTTGTGCTACGTAGAAATCCAGTAAATAAAGCCAGGACCGTTACAGAAATCTTATTAGAAAATTTTAGATCGCATTAAGCTAACGGATTCCATCGAACAAGAAATCGGTGCCTCTTTTACAAACATCCGTTTCAATCGATTTTCAAGCACGCGCATTGCTTTTTTTGTGTGTGTTTCAAATGGATTTAGTTTACGGTTCCATCCTGCCCATTGGGCTCCAGCCCTTAAACCCGCAGAACGTTTTGGTCCGCGTCCTCCTCCTCCTCCTCCTCCTCCATAAGGCTGGCCTGGGTGGATTTCGAAGGCATGAAACCTTGCATGGCTGGTGTGGAATTTGGCATTATTTCTCCCTCCCACCCCCTCAAGTTTCTAGTCCTCATGTTTGTTTTTTTTCGGAATGCTGTATGTCTGCGTGAGCAAGAAGAGAAGAAGGCAGGAGCTGCTGGGCGGTGTAAATTTACGCGGCGTGGCCGCTCCTCGCCTTCCTCGGCGTAATTTCATTTCCTGCCCTCCCAAGAGAGTCGGGTAGCATCCGAGTTGCTCGGAATGAAAGGGCACCTCAACCTCAGCCCCTTTAAGATCCGGGATGGGTGAATTGGGGGCGGGGGCGGGGGGACGACTTCAACTCCCAGAATTCCCCAGCCAGGATGCTTGGCTGGGGGAATTCTGGGAGTGGAGGTCCATCCGCCTTAAAGCAGGCTGGCCGGAGAAATCGGGGAGTCCAAGTCCACGTCTCTTAAAAGATGCTAAGCCCTGAGGGGTAGGCAGAAGAGAATTGGGTTTGAGGAGACCCTCCCAGCTGTCCCCTTCGGGCCTGGGGGGCCCCAGAGGATTGCTCTTCCTCACCAGTTCCCACACACACCCCTTTTTTTCCCCCCCGACCCATGATCTATGTGTGAACTTGTATTCCCCTTCCGTAGGCCGTGCCCGACTTTCAAGAGACTAGACCACGTAATTACATTCTCTCCGCCAGTGCAGCCGCGGTAAGACGAGTCCCGGTTCTCCCCCCCAACCCCCAACCCCCAAATCTATCCTCGGACATCCCTCCTCCCCCAGACCCCCCCCTCCCTCGCGCAGCCCGGACCGAGCACTGGCTGCGGCCAGCATTTTAACGTGAGCCGAGCGACCCTCCAAAGACTAGCGGGGTGACGAGATAGGAGCGTTCCAATATTTGAGGAGGGTCAAAGCACCCGAAGGCAGGAGAAGCAGCGACGGATGGAGACTAACCAAGTCACGCCCCCTCCTGAGGGTCTCCCCCTGCCAAGGGGCATTGCAAACAGGCTCCCGTTGGAGGCTACGTTCCCTTCCCCAGCCAAACCCGGGCAGAAGTGCCAAGTTGACAGACGGGCGTGGAGGAGAAGGAAGAGGCTGACTGCAGAATCATGCGCTGCTTGCTCATTTATTGACTTGTTTTATTGCCTGCTCAGCTTTCCTGGCTGTGACACTCCAGATGAGTCAGTTTCAAGTCCCACAATTCCCCGCTCTGCCTTTCAGGCACCGTAGAGGATTCTGGGAGTTGAAGGAGATTCTCCAGACGGGGCAAAGACGCCTTTTGGAATTTCCCCATCCCGCGCTTGGGCACCGCAGAGCATTCTGGGGGTTTAAAGGGAGACTCTAGGTGGGCACATATATATATATATATATATAGCCCTGCCTTTGCTCTTTGCAGAGAATTCTGGGAATTGGAAGTCCGCATTTCTGGGATGCTTTAAATATTCCTTTTTCTGTTTTAATTTCCTCTCAACCTGCCTCAAACCCAGGATCCTTGCAAGCCCAGTTAATCTAGTCCTTGGGCTGAGCCACCCCAAAATGTCTCCCTTGCCCCGAGCCAAATGGGGCTTAAGAATCTTGAGGTTCTTCTGCAAGAAACACCGACACAGGTAGTGAAGTCCCAAAGGTGCTTTTTCCAAATAAAAAAAGTAGGCCACCGGACTTTCTTTTGTTTTTTCCTGGAAGAGGTTTCGCTTCTCATCCAAGAAGCTTCTTCAGTTCTGACTGAAGCTCGGTTCGGACTCCAGTTCAGTCAGAACTGAAGAAGCTTCTTGGATGAGAAGCGAAACCTCTTCCGGGAAAAAAACAAAAGAAAGCCCGGTGGCCTTTTTTGACCCGGATGACGGAGAATCTCCATAGACATGTAGATAGTGAAGCAGACTGTCTTTAGTTCAGACATGGACATTTGACCCCATAACTCCTCCCTCCTATTTTGCCATCCTTTTCCTGTCCCCCCCCCCCCAAAAAAAAACCCAAATGGCGGGACAGTCTTTTAAGGCAGAAAAAACAATTTCCACCTGAGAATTCTTGGCCTTCACCCAACCACCACAGTACGGTTCCTTCCCAAAGCAGTTCAGGGGGTGCCAGCATCGTCCACCCATTCAGACATCGGTCCGGTTCTTCTGGGTTTGTGGCTGTGCTTCCGCCTCACGTTAAAATGTCGGAACCTCGAAAATACCACCCCCTTCCCCGTGTCCGTTGTCCGCCTTGCTGACGCTCCCGTTGGGAAGGAACCAGATTCAATCCAGATTCAGGGAGATTTGGGGGGCGGGGGGGGGCGATGCATCCTGGCTTTGCAGAGGAATCGCTTCCGTTCAGTGTTGCATGCATGCTGGCTGCTCCCCTAAATCAGGTGTCCTCACCCCACAGGGTGGGGCCTTTCTTTTCCAAAGTGGCGTTTTGTAGCCCAAATTGGCAACTTCGGGGGAAGGAGTGACGGCTGGCTCCTTTGGCCCCCAAAAGGAGCAAGGAAAACATGCGGCGGTGGGCTGAAGTCCGGAGAGGAAAGGATAACATTCAATGCTAAATAGTTTATTCTGGTCCAGAGAAGAAACCGAGGGTCTTGTAGAGCAAGGGTCTCTAACCTTGGCCACTTTAAGCCTGGCGGGCTTCAACTCCCAGAATTCTGGGGGTTGGTCCTCCATGCTTAAAGTGGCCAAGGTTGGAGATCCCTGTTGTGGAGTGTTTTGACACCACGGTGCCTCTTCTTTGGCCCTGGCATTCAGGCTGAACCATTTAAGTATGAGCCAGCGGTGTGGTGCAGCTGCCAAAAAAGCTAATGCAATCCTGGGCTGCATGAACAGAGGGACGGACTCAAGCCCGCGTATAAAGTGTTAACGCATACAACTTTCTTTCTTTCTTGAATTTATATTGCCTCCTATTCGCCCCAGGGCGACTTGAGGTGGCTTACAGAATATTAAAACCACATTTAAAAACTGCACTACTGAGACCACACTTCAAATAGGGTGTCCAGTTCTGGTCACCACAATAGAAAAAGATGCTGAGACCCTAGAAAGAGTGCCGAGAAAAGCAGCTAAGGTGATTGGGGCAGGCCCTGGAGGTTAAACCATACAATGAACAATTGAGGAAGCTAGGTGTAGTCTAGGGAAGAGAAGGACCAGGGGAGACAGGATAGTAGTTTTCCAATATTTGAGGGGCTGCCATAAAGAGGAGGAAGGGGTCAAACTATTTTCCAAAGTACCCAAAGGCCAGACAAGGAACAATGGATGGAAACTGAACAAGGAGAGATTCAACCTGGAAACAAGGAGAAACTTTCTGACAGTGAGAACTATCAACGAATGGAACAGAACTTGTGGGAGCGCCATCACTGGAGACTTTCAAGAAGAGTTTGGACTGCCATTTGTCAGAAATGGTGTAGGGTCTCCCGCTTGGGCGGTGGAGGGGGGTTGGACTAGATGACCTACAAGGTCCCTTCCAACTCTGATTATCTGTTATCAATTCATTTGCTAGGTGTATGTCTCCAGTCTAACGAAGAAGACTAGGGGCGGCAGGCTAGCAGTCGAAGCCCACGAGGGTTAAAAGTTGCGGCGTTTGGAGACCACCAGTTGACACCCGTGGGTTTTCTGGGTCTCCGTCCAAAAATCTGCCCTTGGGACGGGGCCCACTTTGGGGGAACATTTTTGCCCTTGGAAAGAAAGGCTCCCCCTCCCCTCCCCTCGGAAGGGCTGCTTTGCTTGGGCCTGGTCAGGTGGTGCATGTTGCTTTTTTGGGTGGGCTTTTGCGCCAGATCCCGCCAAAGTGAGCAGACGGTCCATCATGGAGAACGGAGGGTTTCTCCTGGCTCTTCGGACAGGCCCCCAGGGGGGTCTCCAAACTCAGCCAATGGCCACTTTTAAAGTAGACTAGGGGTCTCCAAACTTTCAGCTCCCCAAAATTGCTGCATGGCTGACTGGGGGATTCTGGGAGTTGAAGTCCAACAAGTCTTAAAAGCGGCAAAGTTTGGAGACCCCTGGTCTACTTTAATCCAAACACCTGACTGGAGGGGGGAGTGGGCGGTTGAGGGAGAAATGGAATCCCCTCCCCATTTGGAGGGCTATTGCCGTCTGCCACTCTGGCTGGGGGACGGGCCCGGCTGCATTTCCCATGGTCACCCCCGTTGTGGCCACCCCGCGAGGCGGCTTCGTTGTGTAGAATGTGGGCGGCTTGGTGTCTTCTGATGCTGACTTGCTTTTCCGTTTGTCCTGTGGTTCCCCACAGCTTTGGAGTGACGAGGTGGAAAAAGTAAGTACTACCAATATTCCAGTATTCCTCTTTTTCTTTTTTAAATCCCCCCAAAATGTCTATTTTCCCTTTTCCCGGAAAGGAAGGAAAGTCAGCCCTGGGGTGTTGCATTTGTGCAACACAGTGAATCTGGCGGCTGAATGAACCCCCTTTCCAGATTTACATGCGGGTAGACCTCGGCTTTTGCAACCATGAGCTGCTCGTTTTAGTTGTGACTTCGAACGGCTGCCCAATAAATGGTTGTAAAACGAGGACTCCCTTGTAGCGTGTTCCAATCCCGCCACAGTCCGTAACCAAAAATAAAAATCCCTTGCAGTAAAATAATAATAATAATAATTTGGAGTTCTGTTAATAAAATGCAGGAAAGAGGCTAGTGATGGTGGGAATGGATATGTTTACAATATTGGGAATATTTTGCCGTGGCGGTTGTGCCTTCTTTCTGAGGAGGCTCCCACCGTTGTGTGTTGCAGGCGGAGCACGAGCTTCGGCTGGCTCAGACGGAGTTTGACCGACAGGCAGAAGTAACTCGGCTTCTCTTGGAAGGAATCAATAGCACGCATGTGAGTTTTTAATTCATTCCATAAATTTATCTGCCCGCCGTAGGGCTGCCCTAGGGGGCTTACAGTAATAAAAAGGGAGGAAAAATCGAAAAGGTGTGTCAACGGAAGTATTTTTGTTTCCTTTTTACGGCTCTTTAATCCCTTGTTTCGGGAGGGAGTCGAAGCAACTAAACGGAGCTAAGTGTTGACTGGCCGGATGCTCTTCCTGACGCCAGTGTGGAGTTCGCAGCAGATATTTTCTCTTTGCGCCCAGAGAGAAAAACCTCTTGTTGCTGCCTAGGATTGAACTCTCAGCTTCCCGAGTGGAAGGCAAAAGGAGCACAACGAGAATAAACAAACTAACTAAAATAACTAAAAAAGACGGATGGGGTGAAGAGCAGAGAGCAAGAGGCAGTGTTCCCAGAAGGGGGAAGAACTTTGGTCCAGAAAGGAGAGGAAGGCCTGTGTTTGCAATCCTGGGTTTCCTGGCCTTTCCCACTTGGCCAAATAAAGTACAGGAAGTCTTCGACTTGTGACCACAATTGACCGCCAAATTTATGTCGCTAGGCGAGTGCAATCTTTGCAATCTTTCTTGGCCCAGTTGTCCCTTGGGGTCGATTGAGAAGGTCTTGAAAAAAGCGCTGGTCTTGTTCTAAACCCTCTGTTTGCATCAGGTGACCTCTTGTGAAAACACTGAGAACCGGTTGCTTGGAACCGGCTGTTAAATCTCCAGTTTTTAGCGAGAGCCGTAAACTTCCCCTGGACATTACGCTGGATTCTTCTTCTTCTCCTCCTTCAGGTCAACCACCTCCGATGTCTCCACGAGTTTGCAGAAGCTCAGACCACGTACTTCGCACAATGCTACCAATACATGTTGGATCTCCAGAAGCAGCTTAACAGGTAAATAAATGTGTTTTTTTTTTGTTTTGTTTTTTAATGTTGCCCGGGGTGTATGAAGAGAATATTTGGGGGTCCCATCAAGGGCCAGATGCAGCCCACTTTAATGATCTTGTGACTCAGCACATAAAACATTTGGCCAAACTTACAACGTTTTCAGAACTTTAGTCAGAATGGTTGATGGACTTCAACGGTTTAAGACAGCGAGAAGAATGAGTCAGTGGAACGGCTTCCCTCCAGATCTTGTGGGTGCTCCAACACGGGAGGTTTTTCGAGAAGAGACTGGACAACCGTTTGTCCGGAATTGCATATTCTGGGTCCCTGCTTGAGCAGGGGGGTTGGACTAGAAGACCTCCAAAGTCCCTTCCAGCTCTGTTATTCGGTTAAATTTGCTGACAGTTTAGAATAATTGATCAGTGGAGCAGCTCGCCTTCAGAGGTTGCGGTTGCAGCCATCCCCGGGTGTTTTCAAGACGAAACTGGGCAGATATTTGTCCGGAATGGTATCAGGTCTCCAGCTTCAGCAGGGGGTTGGACTAGATGACCTCTGAGGTCCCTTCCAACTCTTATTATGTGTTCTCTGCTGTGTTCATATTTAAACTCTGAAATTTGAGGGTGGTTTTTTCTTCATTCGTTGTCTTCTGTTCTGTCCCTCTCTGGCTTTCAGCTCCAGAGGAGAAATGTAAGTTTTCCAAAAAAAAATCTGTTTTTTTTTTTCTCCCCCCCTCCCCGCCCAAGTGGTTTAATTTATAATTAAGCAAGTTTGTTATCATTATCGAAAGCTGGGGCGGGGGGGTGTTCCTTTATAGAAAAGCACAATTTTTATTAGGGTTTTGCCAAACGGGTCGAATCGGCCGGTTTGCAACTTCCGGTCCCACCTTTTCTTCCTTTGTCCAGGTTGCCGGGCACTTTTGTGGGCAACACGGAATCCACTTCGCCCCCGCCCAGCGCTGCTTCCCCGACAGCCATGGTTGCTGCCACGGGACCCGCCGTGCCCACCCTCCCGGTGGTGACCACGATCGCCGGAGCACCCAATTCGGCTCCGGGGGTTGAAGCTCTGAATCCCAGTGAGGTGAAGCCCCCCAGCAGTGGCACCCGGAAAGCTCGGGTGTTGTATGACTACGATGCGGCCGACAGCAGTGAGCTCTCCCTACTTTCGGACGAGGTTGGCACCCCCGCTATCTCGGGCAAGGCGCTGGGAGAACGCGCGCTCCAGCTGGGTGGGGGGGTCCAGCCAAAATCCACGGCACCCGGCTCGGTTGTGGCTAACTTAACACTCTGGCTTGCTTGGTCCTGCAGCCCTCCTTTCCCTGTGCTTCTTATGGGGATTTACAGACCAAGATTCATGGTTTGGTGCTACGCTGGTCATAAAGATTTGGTTTGATGGTTTGGTGCAGAAGCTGTTAGCGCCGAGGGGGGGATTTTGGGTGTCAGAATTGCAGGAAATTTACCAATTTCACCTCCCTCCCCTTATTCTGGAAGGTAGTCCTTGACCTATGGCCGCGATTGGGATCAAAACCTCCGTCGTTAAGCAATGCGGTGGTTAAGTCAGCCTCACCCAGTTTGACAACCTGCTTTGCTGCGGTTGTTAAAAGCAAATCATTGCAGATCACGAGGTCGTTAAGCGAGGCTATCTTCTCCCATTGACTTTGCCTGTTGGAAGCCGGCTGGGAAGGGGTGACAAATGGAGTCACAGGACTCCAAGGATGCGACAACCGTCATAAATCCGTGCCAGTTGCCAAGCATCCAAAGTTTTAAATCAAGCGCAATTGTTGGAGGAGCTGCGATGGGTCGTAAGTGCGAGGACTGGTTGTAGGTCACTTTTCGCAGGGCTGTTACAAGTTTGAACCGTCACCAAACAAACGGCTAGAAGTCAAGGACTACCTGGATGGCTAGTTGGAACGGGGGGCCTTCAGCCTCCGTAAAGGAGGGATTTTGTACCCTTTCAGATGCTTCCCTCATTCTTTTATTTATATTATATCGTATTATAGATAATTGCAAAGCGTTCACAATATTTGAGGTTTCATATTTTGTATCTTTTATCTCTTGTGCTTTTTAATTGAAATGTGATGGGAACGGGCCTTACGGTAAATAATAATTTCGTTCAGAATTTCTGCCCCAAATCCCCAAATTCCCCTGCTGTTTATATGAAGAACTGTCCCCAAAAGCGCTTTTGATTTCTTCCAGTAAAATCCTGGTTAGGCCGACCCCCTGACTCCCGCTCCTCTCTTTCAGATGATCACTGTGTACAGTCTCCCAGGGATGGACCCCGACTGGCTGATTGGAGAGCGGGGGAACAAGAAGGGCAAAGTGCCCGTCACCTACTTAGAACTGCTGAGTTAGACACACCTGGCAAGGACTCCGCAAGCAAATCACGAGGCCTCTTTCTTCTTCTTCCTCTTCCTCTTCTTCTTCTTTGGAAAGGCTGAAACCGATTCACTCCGAGATCCTTTGCTCTCGCTATTTATTATTATTGTTATCGTTTGGGGGGTCTTGGGATGTGTGGATCAAAGACCCCAAAGGGATGGTGGCGAATCACTTTCCGTTCTCCAGGATTTCGGAGACTCCCCTCCATTTATCCTGGTTGGCTTTGAGGATCTTTGGGAGCTGCTGCGAAGACATGCCCAGCTCATTGGGGGATGGTGGTGGGTCATGAGGACTAGCCACTTTAGAGACCCTCCCTTCCTTCCCATCTTCTAATTTTTCCTCCCTCCCTCCGTTTCCGTCTTTCCTCCTTCTCTTCCTTCCTTCCTTCCCATC